TGTACGGGTAGGGATGTTTAGCCACCTTCTTATCGGTCGCCGAAAGGCCGAATCAGGTGGCCGATCGCCAATCGGTTACCTGGTTCGGCTCATCTCTATTAGTTATCATTAATAAACCATCAAAGGTTAATTAACTGATTAAGAAGTATTACCTAGCACGGTAAGGCTTTACAGGGCCCATAAGGTCCAGGGCCCACGAATGTCAGTATAAATAGCTCAGGTCAAAAGGTAACGTCACTGTTCATTAATTACCCTAGATTTTTGTGCCCGTGCTGACTTGAGCGTTGGAGTGCCTTTTGCAGGTACAAACCCTTTCACTCATATCGGATTGGAGCGTTCGTTCGGCCTTCAGAACTCAGGAAGACTATCGGTGTATCCTTATACAGGTACACCATGCATAATACTTTGTCCCTGAAGTTGATATACGAAACTGAAAGAGTTAGTCATTAGTGATATATACCTTGTACCAAAGGAATATTCTATCGGTTGGAAGACCATTTGTAAACCATTTTATATGATTAATGCTGCCAGGGGAATATAGCTTCACATTCTCACCATGCATTCCAACCTTATATTTCCACCCGTTTTTGGAGATATCCTTGATCATCTCAGTGCCTTCCTTTTGTGATACCAATCTATTTGTATATAACACATGCTAAAATATTAGTTATCATTAATTAAAATAATTTTATGTAATATAAATTATTTCTTATAAACCTTTAAATATAATTTACATGTTTAAAAATATCTATTTATATAAATTTTAAATATAATTTATATATTCAAATATAATAGTTATTTGTATATATAACTTATTGTAGTAATCCAATTTCGTCCGAAAAATATTAATTTAAAAAAAAAAATAGCAAAAAAGGTATATACAAGAAAGAATAAAAAAGACAAAATATGAAAGCCAAATGTAATATCTCATTTTTTATATTTTTATGGAGGGTAATTTAGTAATTTTCATATGATTTTAGTACCCAAACTAGAACCGGAACGGGCCGTTCCAAGATACTAAAAAGAACTAAAAATTCTATCCCAGAAGGGGCCGTTCCTAAACTGGAACGGGCCGTTCCAGAAATGGCCGTTGTGAGGAAAAATGCAACCCCAGAACGGCCGTTCCAGACTCAGAACGGGCCGTTCCGGTCCATCCTGAAAGTCTATTAATAGCTGCTCCCGGCCTTCCCACACACACATTTCCACTTTGGACCAAGGGGAACTTAGAAGAAGAGACCAACAAGTTATCACTTCTTGAGCAAAGAATAGTGAATATATTGAACTCACTTGCTTTTTATTTATTTATTTTTATTTTATTTTTTCATTAGTAATATTTGTCATTTTAAAGATTGTCATTTTAAAGAAGATTATTTGTCATCTTAAAGTCTTATTTAAATTCAAAATGTGATTAAATATCAAATACAGGATTATAATATTTAATATAAATATATAAAATTATTGTATCAAAAATTTTATTGGAGGAATGGTTAATTAGATGTGACATCTTTTTAACCTTTGAATTTAAAGTACAAGTTGTGACAACTTATCTTTAAATTTTTTCTCCAAAAACAAAAATGCCTAACCAATAAATTTTTTAAGATCATAACATCTATAACAATAATTATAATTAAAATTTTATTGAATTGACTTTGGTGTACACCTTAGTCAATTTTGAATGAGCTGAGACAGTTCAAGAATCTTATATTTAACGAAAATAAAACTTAATTAAAAAATATCTAACACACAAATATTTTTTTACAAAGAACTACGTGATTCTGATTTCTCATTACACATGGAGATACATAAGAGCAAGAAATAAATCTTGTCGAGCTAAAAAATAAAAATATATTGTCTTCCCTTTTATATAACAATAATAATTTTAACCTTTTAATACATTACTTAAATTAGTTAAATAAAATATATTTGATCGTTAGATAAATATTTTATAAATTATAATTAATTTGTTTAATTAATTAAAGGTAATCGTCTTAGGATGAACGTTGTGAGTTGTTAATACCTTCCTCACACGTAATCGACTCCTGAACTCAAAAATCTAGTTTTAGTAAACTATTTTTTACTTTATGGTTTTTTCAATGTTTTTTCGTAAAAAATAACATTGGTGACGACTTTCTATTTTTTAATTTATTTTTTGCCATCTCGTCGCGATCTCGGTTGCGACACTTATTATAATAAACATTTAGTTCATGTATTGCATTGACTAAAAGTACTAGTTTACATAAAAATGAGAGTAGTTATATAGTGCCGAGAGTAATTTTAAAAATTTTCTTTATTTAACAAGAATGTTTTTTGAGAAAAATATTTTGAAGAATTATATTAACTTTTTTTTTATCATTCTAATTTCTTTTTATCAAATTTATTAATCTTTATATATTAAATATAAATTTTTTATGTAATCTTTTTAGTAACTTTCTTTTAACAAGAACATTTTTTACGATTCTTTTAATTTTTTATTTAATTCATTTTTATATTTATCAATAAATTAAATTTTAATATTTAAAACAAATTCAATGAAAAAGATTTTAAAAATTATTTTAATTTTTTATCTAATTCAATTTTTATTTATCATATTTAATTTATATATTTAAAATATTTACTTGTATAATTTTTTAAAGGGTCTAATGATCATAGATTGTCAATGTTCAACCAATCAAAAATTATTATTGATATACTTTTAAGATTATTATTGTAAAAGTTAATAGGTTACCCTACAAGATAGTTGTGATTGAATAATTATATAAAATTATTTTATACCCTTAGTGCATACTTTTTTTCTTCTTATTTTAAGTATAACTAGGGTATATATTTATTATATATAATTAAAATTATAATAAATTATATATACAAATAAATACTATATAAATTATATTTAAAATTTATATAAATAGATAGTTTTAAACATATAAATTATATTCTAAATTTTACTAAATGTAATATGTATATATATATATATTATATTTTAATTTAAAATAATTAATTAATTTTATTTATTGATAATTTATTTAAAATACTAAAATTTAATTCATAAATAATTATAATAAATAAAAATTGAATTAGTTAAGAAGTTAAAAAAAAATTCTTGCAAAAATATTTTAAAGTTCTTGCATAAGATAAATATTTGTGTTTATTATATAAAAGTTGATGTAATTGATATATTTAAATAGATATTATTTTTATATATAATTTATTATAAATTTAACTATATATAATAAATATTTATTATATATATTTTGAAATAAACTTTGTTTAAGTTTAATTTTAACTCATACTTTAATATTTGAATATGATATTTTAAAGGGGAATAGTAATTTTAAAAGAATTTAATTTTTTTGACTAAATTATACATAGTCCTTCTATTTTTATCAATCCGTAATCTCTTTATATAAAGATATTTAATTATTTTAATTTTTAAATGTAAAATTTTGATCATCTCATTAAATTGACATATATAAATTGTTAAAATTTTAACATTCACACATACTTAATTAATATCACATTTAATAACATAATATTTAGAAATAATAAAAATTAAAAAAATCATACATATAAAATTTATTAATTAATAAAATAAATATTAACTATTTGTTCAAATATATACAAAAAAGAATATTTTATATATTATTTTTTAAAATTTTATTCTCATATATCATATAACTAAATTTACGTTATTTAAGTAGTATTAAATTATAAAAAATATAAATTTTAACAATTAATAAATATCAAATTAATATTAAAATCAAAATTTTATATTTTGAAAATAAGAAATTAAAAATATCTCTTTTTTAAAATAAAAATAAAAATCGGAGAAAAATATAGAACCAAAATTATAATTTAAGCTAAAATTTTATGTACGGATATTCTAGGAAATTTAATTAGAGTTTTAATTAACTTAAATCATGGATTTTAATTTCCACTTAAAATGATACTACTATAATTTTGAAATTTATCTTGCGTGCTTTAGCTGCCTCCCTCCATTCTCACTCACGCTCCCTGCTTGCGGCGCCATTCACTCGAGCATCTCTCACACTTCGCTTGCTCGACTTCTCTCTCTGGTTCGTTTCCCTCTGATTTGTTTCTGCATTTCTAGACATCTCTATTTCTTCTATATTCTAGGGTTTTCTCTCTGTGTTTTATTTTTGCTTTATCTCTGATTTGTCTCTATTTATTGTCATCTCTGATTTACTCTCTAATCTAGGGTTTTGTTTGCTCATATGTTTGGTACTAGTTTAGACCATTGAAATCGGAGTTTTGTTGTAGAAAAATGAGTTTCATCGAAACACTTTCTGAGTGAATGAATGATTGCAAAGGTCTTGTTTACAAGAGAGAATTGCACGGTTACTTGTCCCGCTGAATGACTATGATTGTGATTCTGATTTATAGTGTGTTTGGATGAGGAATTTATATAGGATAATTCATTTATTTGAAGAATTTCAAATTCTTTGAGTGAAATACTTTGTTTGGACGAGGAATTTATAAAGAATTTGAAATCCAAGCATTTGTGAAATTCTTTAAAATAGTAGAATTTCAAATTCTCCTAAAAATAGGAGAATTTGAAATTTCTCATATTTGTTTTTCTTCTTTCACCTATATATTTTATCTTATATCTTCATTCTTTTAATTATTAGATATTCAAAAATATTTTTAAAATTATTAAATATTATCTTATATTAATTTTTAAAATTATTAAATATTATCTAATATTAAATTTTAAAATTATTAAATATTTAAAAATGGATTAATATTTATTTTTATAAAATTTAATTTAAAAATCTCAACATATAAATATATTTTAAAAATCAATTTTACTATGATGGAATCAAATTATCATATTCAACCTAATAATTTAAAATTTAAGAAATTTAAATTGACTCATCCAAACAAATTATTTTAAGAATGATAGAAATTGAAATCAAAGTAATTTAAATACTAAGAATTTAAAATTCCTTGAATTTGTAAAATTCTTTATCCAAACACACTATTAAGGCTCGTACATTTGTAGAAGATAGAAATCCGTGTTGTTCAGTTACTGTTTTGTGTGTATATGCGGACTTGCACATATATAAGATTGTAGAACGAACATGTTGTGTATATGCAACTTTCACTTTTCTTTGTGTCTTGTATATGCATACGGTGATTTGATGAGTAGCATGTTGTAGCCTTTCAAATCCATATGTGCAACAAGTGGAGTATGTCTGAGTTATGTATTATGATTATATCTATTTTGTTCCTCTCTTGTTTAATTGATTGGTATCTATGATCTAATAGTTCCTAGAAAATATGTTAATTTTTAAAGCAGAGTAATACGATTGACTAAATGCCGCAATTTGAGTCTTGGAAATGGTTTCATAATCTGGTTTATAGATATGTATACATAATTACATAACACGCTGCAAATTAATGAGATGAAAACTGTTAGCTGGAATTATATATATTTTCTAAATTTTTAATATCTAGGAAGAAAAAGTGATGTAGGATGTTATTAATGTTGTTTTCAGGGGATGTATTTGACTATTTTCTTTTGATCAAGTCTTTTGAAATTGGTTGTTTGGTTTAGATCATATGTAAATCAATCTGCAAACGAGATTGTGGAATTTGCTGGTCTTTAGTCAATACCAACCATAATTAAGCCCAATTAGCAATCCTTTCCACCAATGTCATCAAGGGCTTTGATCAGCCTCACTATCTCAGCTGTATGATCAAGAACATGTAGTTTTGTTGAACATAAAGCGATACCTGCAGAACCCTTATTTCCTCTGCCACTGGACTTCAACTTCGTCTCACTGTTGTTGGCCAGAGATCACATGCACCGGTGGCCATAGGATTCTAAACTGTTCCTGTGCTTCTTTACACCTTTTGCCCTGTCTTGCTGCATTCAGACCAAAATATGGCTTGTACTTCACTACTCATAAGATTCTAAACTGGTGGATCTGACATGACACAACTCATACGAGTTTGTGAGTATGTCCTTCCAATAATTGTAGTTTCTAAAACTTGAAGCCTATAACTCATAGGAAGTGCCAACACTTGTGTTGAGAGTTGGTGTTTTTGGAAAGTAGACTCTTGTTGTTTGTGTTGGTCAACAAATGGGTCCAAGTCGAAGCATAGATTTTTCAAAAGTGGATGGCTAGGGGTTAAGAAAGATTGTTATTAGGGCTCATGGAGACTGAGATGTCTGCCTAGGAAAAGTGTCTGACATGATAAAGGGAAATAATACCCCTTCCATTATTATTTCCTCACCATGCAGAAAAGATATGCCTCCCACCCTCCACTCTTAGAAAACAAAAATTAAATTAGTACTTAAATTGTTCACACCTAACCTCATTTGTTCCAAAGTCCATTTTTCTCTCAATCAAGCCCTTTGTTAAGGCAGCTTACGAGTCACCAAGTGGAAAATAAGACTTCTGTATCTTAACAAATAAGAGAAAAGCCTCTCCTAAGTTTCCCAACCTGCTGTAACCGTAAACCTTAAGCCCCAATCTCAGCATCTCCTGGATGAGTTCCAAATGTTGAAGAATCTCCTGATCAGTAGGATCAAACTTCACTCCAGCAGGCAGTCTAGGGAAGTCATGAATTCCAGCAACCTAATAACCATTACCACAATATTTATATTTATTCTTGAATGAACTTGTTCTTGTCATTTGATATGATGACCACGTGTAGGACATGTTTTGATTAAGCTATCTTTGTGTCTCTCCACAATGATGCTAGGATTGTTTCAGGGTAAATGCATCGAGTTATTTTCTTGTTATTCTCTTTTCTCCTTCATTCCATTTCTGGATAGCTTCTGCCAGTCTCTTATTATAAATGTAAAATAATTATATGTTAAAAAAATTATTTATTGCAATTATAAATTTTAATCATAATATAATTTATTTATATATTCAAAAATATTTATTTTGTGTAAAATTTAACTATATAAAATAAATATTTGCACAAGTTAAAATATTAATTATAATATAAATAAAAATACTAATTATAATTTAAGTTAATAAATTTAACATCCATGACAATAATGATTTGTAATTGGATAATTATTACTCTCTTAAGTAATGCATGTATTGTTTATTGAAGTTTAATTTGTATAATTATCTTATAATTAGAAAGTGCTATTTAAGTAAATAAATAAATTTGTAATTGTAATTAGTTCAAGTAAATAAATTCTCTCATTCTAGCTAGTTGTTGTTAGTTGCTTCAGAACCCTAGCCTCTTCCTGTATTTTGCCGTGTCTTGAACACCCATTCTGTTTATATCTGTCGGTCTTTGTTAAATTTGTTTTCTCTCAATTCAGACCCTGATTGATTCAACTAGTCAACAACTACTCAATTTATGTTTCTCTTTCTCACACTTTTGCTTTAACCTAATTTCATTCTTTTACTAGTTTCCAAAGAACTTGGGATTGAAGACCCAACGAAGCATTGCGAGTTTTAAATATGTGGAAGATTGGGAAATTAAATACATGAATGTTGTAATTATTGAAATGTTTTAATGTTTTCTTTGGATTATCTAATTATGTTATGCCTCACATGTGAAATGTGACTGAGATGCGAAGAGCTTGGATGTCACAGTAGTGCCATTGTCTCCTCTTTAATGGTCATACATTTAAATTATCTGTAAATTTGTGATCTCTTTAATGCTCATATAAGCAGTATGTTGTTCTCCCTCTAAATTCAAGTGTTTATGTTATCATGCTCAGTGTCAGGCTGCTGCTCTGTTTTTGAAGTTTGATCAACTGCATCTAATTGGCTTTGAAGGATGAGTGAACTTCTTTTTGATGACATTTTCACGGTTGAGATTGTAAACCCCGATGGGAAAAAGTATGACAAGGGTATGTGCACCTCTTATTTCTTGTATTTCTTTTTTTTACAAATTGATCTGCATTAAAGTATTGTGTGCTTTGGATATGCCGAGCTGTTTAAATAAGTTGATAAATGATAATATGATTTAATACTGGGGTGAAATAGCAACTTATGTTTTTTGACTTGTAGGTTGCCTCAATATAAATAATTAATTATTAGGTGCTATGGATATGTGCTGCTTATTTTTAGCACTGCAGTAATTTTGACTAGGATTTTATTATTATTATTTTAAATGATAATTGGTTTGTAGATAGATAAATAAAAAGCTGGGTTCTATCTAGAGAAGTTTTAATGTATGAGAAAATCAGAGCAGAAAATTGAGCTGAAGTCATTTAAGCAAATCAAGGAAAAATGAGGTTTTGCTCATTTGCTGTGGCTCCAAGAGTAAAGTGCACTTACTGACATAAATAATTATGAAACTAGGGGAATCGTGGAATATTTGATTATGAAAGCATTCACTATTTAAGCTGTGGATATGGCAGGTCATGATAGAGATCTTCAAATCAATTGAATTTAGTTCTAGCATGTTATACAATTTGCAATAATTTTATTCTTCAGCTGTCACTTTAGATGGATATTATTAAATTCCTGTTGAATTTGACATGCTTGATAGCAGTGATATAGCTTTGTATTTCTCTGTGTTAATGAAGTGTTCAGCCTTCAGGAGGAATGAACTTTACAGTTTCTTGGCTATCTTCTTGTAGTTTCTCGGATTGTGGCACGAAGTGAGAAGCATGACATGTACATGCTTCTAGATGTAAATACAGAGATTTATCCAATGAGGGAAAAAGAAAGATTCTTGATGGCTCTGTCTCCTTCACTTGTTTTGAATACTAAGGTAAATTTAATTTATTTATGATTGTATGCTTTATTGCAGTTATAAGCAATATCTATATAGTTTTATTATTTACTTAACAAGTTGTTTATACCTCTCACATTATTCATCTCTAATATAGGCTTTATTATCTGCTTGACCATTTGTGGGACTTAGCCTAAAATACATACTTGCTGTCAATCCCTATATTATGTGGATGTGCTTTTTAATGATAGTGCTAACTAACTAGACAGTTTCTCGTCTTTTACTGTTTATAGTGATACACTGGACTTAAAAATTGGAATGTCTTTTGTCCTATCGTAGCTTGCCTATATTAAGCAGCATGGAATGGTTAATGTAAATTCAGAATGACCAGGCACTGAGTCAAGTAGGATTAAATGTCTTCCATACATTGACATAAAAGTTCAATTTGTAGTTGAGTACGCCGAAAAAGGTCCACAAAATGACTGTTGAATGTTTATATCTTATAAAATCCAATAAGTTTTGTAGAACATAAATAAAACCAGAGTGGTCTCTCAAAATATTGCTCTCATTCTGCCAGCTAATGCATTTATTTGAGACTGTAACATGTAGTTCTAATGCCTCTATACAAACTATAGGTGGTTAAGGGTTTCTTGGTGTGACAAGAAATAAAGAAAAGTTTAGCAGGGTGTTCTATGTAGTACTTTGTAACTACAATATTACTCTTTCCTGTCTTTTATATAAGAATCAAATAACTAATTCATCAAAATGAATGAAAATTGTTTAGTTAATTTTAATTAATAATGTCATAAATTTAAATTTTATTTCAAAAATGCCCATAGAATTAAATGGTAGCAGTTATATTTAATAATACTACACATAATCCAATAGATAATTTTCTCCACCAATATGTGTGACTAATATAAGTCAATGAATACATCGGCTCACATGGAGAATGAGTGAGCATCTCATTAATAGATTTCACCATATATTAAGGCTATAAAAGAGAATTAGCAATTAATACTTTGAAAGTGGGTCCACATTTCTTACAATTAGGACTAAAAAGTACACTTAATTGTTTCATATATAAAAGGGCGGAGAGAGTATGTTACTATGAGTATGCGACAGGTAGAATATTTATTGTGTTATACTTATATACAATAAGGATGTGTTAAAGTAGTTTGAATGATTTATATGTCTCAAAAGTAGTGGATATTGTCTTTACAATGAATAGATTTCTCTACAGGATGGCTCGGTGTCAATTCAAGACAAGTTTGAATACATCATGCATGGAAGGTTATATGACATTACGAATGAGGGATGTTCTGAACTTGAAGTGTATGTAAACATTTCCCATGCTATATTTCCCATGTTATATTGGTGTTTTACTCTGTTTTGTTCTCTTAAAAAATATCACCTAGGAATCTAGGATCAAATTCTTGTTTAAATGACAAATTGTTCTCTGCTTATTTCATGGAGCTTGAGTATAGAATAGTTTGCTTTCTGCTTCATGGAATCATATCTTTGCAACACAATATGCATTGAAGGCTTATTTGTGACAGGAAACCATTCTTGTATATTGATGTCAATGAGATTTTGTCTTTCACTATTCTACTTTTTAGGTTTATATTTTTGTTCTTGAGTTTAGTCAATTCTTCAATTGAGTTTTTTTTTCTTGTTCCAGGGAGGTATGTGCATCATTTGGTGGACTTCAGTTGATGCTGAAAGGACATTCTTCCCATTGTGTTAAGTTTGCAGTCGACCAGAGTTTGTTTTTACTGATAAGGAAGCTTGAAAGTTGAAACTGGTGTTGGCGATGGCCTGAAAAGAAAAATATGGTAGCATTATGTTTTTAATAATTATTTATGATATTTGATAAGTAGTTTGTCTAAAATAATTAGTTTTTTTACGGAAGAATGAGTTGTGTTTTAAATGTTTCTCTATAGATTGTTTTCGATATATTAATTAGTTAAATAGTTTAGAGTTTAGGGTTTAAAATTTGTTTGTTGTTCTGTTTGGTACCGCAGAAAACGAGGGAGAAGAGGGGAGAGAGTGAAGAAATACCATTGAACTATTGTTTTGGTTGGTGGTGCTTGTGCATAACGTAACGTGCAAAGAAATAAGAGTGTAGGTCGCAACCTATTTTTTATTTTTTATTTTATTTTTTATTTTTATATTCTTCGCCAAACAATGAAGAAAACCAACAGTGACGAGTGTAAAAATTAAAACTAATCTATTGAAATAAATTTGTAATTGATTGTATGTGGGGAACTTATGTATTATTAGCTTAATCGATTAAAATTTTGATTAAATAATTAAATCAACAATAGGTTTATTCGATTATGTAATCAACTGTTGTTGATTTAATTTAGGGGTTTCTACGGATTTGAAAATTAGAAATTTGATTAGTTTGGATTGGATACTGGATTTTGAATTAAAAGATCTACCCAGTTAATTTAATAATAATAATTATTATTAAAAGGCTCATGATATATATTTTTTTTATAATTACAATTTTTTTTTAAAAAAGAATTCTTAAAATATTCTTAATTTTTTTTTTATTTTACACTTTCAACATTTATTTTCTCTCCTTTTTAGTATATACATACATTTTCTTTTCTTTTCTTCAATATCTACTTATTTTAGTAGATAGTTTTAATTCTTTCATTTAACCTTGTGCTCCTACCTCTATTTCTTTCACACTTTTAAAAATCTTATCATGAAATTTATTATTTTTTTGAAAGATACTCATACAAACATTAATTTATTCAGAGTAGTGAAATTAGTGTTTTAGAGACTAAGTTTTATAATTGTATCTTTTTACATACTTTTGAAAAGTACTTTTTAGAACATAATATATTGTTTTATAATACTAAATTTATTGTTCTATAAAGAATTTTTTAAAATTATGTATAATAACACTTTCAAAAAGTACTTTTCCGAACATCAATTTTACTACTATGAAAAGTGCTTTCCAAATATGTGTTATTTTCATAATTTTAAAAATGTGTTATTTTATATAATTTCATAAGGCTCTTTCTAAAATAGTAAATTTAGTGTTCTAGGAAATATTTTTTGAAACATTAATTTTACTGTTTTGGAAAATACTTTTTGAAACACTAATTTCTTAGTGGAAGCTCTTAATCAAGGAGAGTGTATTGAAATCTTAACAGTTGCTAGGATGGAAAATTTGAATTTATATTAGCTTGTCCTACTCGAATTTGGTGTTTAGAGGTCAAGAAGGTGGGAAAAGTCATCAACTAATTTGTTGAGGTTACTCATAGTAGGAGGTTGTGAAGGTAAGGTTCTAACAGGTTGTTGAAGGAAGAACTTAACAAGTAGCTAAGGGTACTATACAAATAGCAGGTGGTTGGTTTGTGTAGGAAAAATCCAGCAAGTGGCTGATGATTGTAATTAGAGCAGTTGTTGCTAATCATAGTGAAAAATTCTCACAGCATGTGTGAGGACTGGACATAGCCTAAGGTTGGGTGAACCAAGATAAATCTCTGTTTTCAAGCTCTCTTACCTTGTCTCCCTTACTTGTTTTAATTGCTTATCATTACTTATAACATTGGTACATGTTTATATGTCATGGATATAATCTAATAAAAGAATTTTCAAAGAAATTAATTTTACACCATTAGAAGCATATGCTTTTGAAGGACTATTTTATAAGAAGTCCACAATTTAATCCCCTTCTGCTTGTTGGCTAACATTTACTTCACTTTTAACATATCCTTCTTCATTTGATTTATCTTATCACATTATTTTTTCTTTTGTAAATCAAACATAGAATAATTATATTTGTCTTGTCTGGTATTATGATTTTTATAAGTTGATCAAACTTTTTTGACTCATCTTATACTCGATAAAATAAAAGTGAATTTTAGTAAGTCGATCAAAATAACTTTGGATTATTAGATAGTTGTGTTTCAAATTTTGGTTTCTGGAAATGGAACCTGTCCAAATTCAAAATCAATTGAGACTATGGTGAATTTTAAAGTATATAAATAAACCACCTTAGTCCACCAAATATTTGGTGAATTAATTTATCCCTTAAATTTTTAACATCGACTAGCATGAAGCTTAAAAAAAATGCAACATCGCATACCACCAAATCTATTATAAAACATATCCATCTTTTTCATAAGTTTTTTTTTTTTTGCTGAAACACGATAGGAGGTTAAAAGAAAAAAACATGATGGACACAGAATATGAAATGCTCATAACCCATTAAGATGATAGCGTCACACAATTTTTTTGGAGCGGCAAGAAGGTTTGTTGTGTTGGTGGTTAGTTTCAAGAGGAGGTAAAGGGGCAGTATGGGTGGGGAAGTGTACATATCTAATAAAGAAAAAACTAGATTTGAGAGAACAAAACTTATATTCAAGAACAAAACCAAATTTGACATAAAAAGGAGTATAATAGGGGAGACAATAAAGGTGGCCTTGTTTCAAGCTAGGTTTGAAAGATCTCTTTGTCACATAACTTCAGATAAAACACAACTTGTTTTAACCCACCATACCTAATCCGTAACTTGTCAAATATGACCCGTCTAACCCAATGAATAATGTGGTAAAAAATAGGCCTAACTATTTTTTATGTGTTTTGGTTTGATTGGGTTATTTGGGTCCAAACCTGTCCAATGATCACCCCTAGATTTTTAGCAAATCACACTAACTTGTAAGGGTGATTTATGAGTAACTACCTAAGGGCTAAGGTTCATTTCATTGTGACAAGTTCATCCTTCTTACTTATCCTTCTCTTAAAAGTGGCGCATTACTTCTGCATCCTCTCTACCATTTTTGTTTGGTTCTTATGAAGCTTGAGTCCATGGATGAAGATTGCAAGAACAATGGAGCTAGTAAAGTGGATTCAACTACCTTTCACTCCACTAGATTCACCAGGCCAAGTAGGTTTTCCCTAGGGCTTAGGTCAAAATGACACCTCTAATAAGTGCACGTGATATTTTTCTTGGCTAAATTACTATTTTTGTCTCCTTATTTATTTGTTTAGCTCAATTTAATCCATCTTATATTAAAAGGTCCATTTTTGTTTCTTAATTTTAAAAATGCTCCAATGTTACCTTTTTTTATATTAAATTAGAAGAGACAACATTAAATAAATGTATAGTGGCATATATATGGCTAATAAGAAATAAGGCTTTTTTTTAAACATTTTTTGATTGTTAAGGATGAAGGTCTCCCTATCTTCCAATTTAAAGGCCAATATATGGTTTTTGAATTTTTGGTACACTTCTTCTTGCATATGATGAATAATGTCTCATTTTCAAGATTCTTCTTGCAATTTCCATTATAATTTGACCATGAATAACAAATAAATAATAGATTAACACTCTTCTCTTAATGGTGGAACTTGAAGAAGGTTTCTTTTATGCTAATGTAGGGACATGATAACCCCAAGCGTGTGGTTCAGCGGTAGGGGTTGATCCACGCTTAAGCAAGGTCAAGGGTTCGAATCCTGTCTTGTGTATGCGGCCGCATTAAATCTTGGGGCTAGCCCTCCCACCCTTTGAGGTGCCTCCAACGTAGCGAGGAGATTAGTCACTGCTATCGACGGTGGATACTCCAAGGACGAACAAAAAAAAAATGTAGGGACATGATAGTTTTGTGAATGGTGTGCACTCCTACCAATCTTTGAAATAAATTTTGGGAATGCATTAATTACAAGGTGATTTCTTCACATGTTTTGATGTTCAAGTTTCTCCACCTAATGGGATGTCAACAAGGTGGGACGGATACATATAATAGCATTTCGCAATCCGTCCCATTGGAAAAATATTTATCTCGTACTCGTCTTCATATTTGTGCAAGTATTTATTAAGTGAGTAGTCGCGTATTTTTAAATATTTGTGGGTATTGGTAGATATCTATTTTAAATAAATAAATAAATTTTAAAAATATTTAATAATAATTTCTATTTATTCTAATAATTTCTTTAAAAGATAATAGTTTAAAAGTCAAAACTTAAATTATTCAAATATTATACACAATTTTATAAATCAAAATTATTCAAATAAATTAGTTGTTAAAAGTATTTCATTCCCATAAGTTTAAACAAATTTAATATGTTATTATGTAATTAAATATTAGCGGGTACCCACGGATATGGATACTATGATACCTATTATTACCCCCATTAACATGTGGGCATAGAAAATACACGTACCCAACACCCACGGGCATCTATTTATAATATCTATTTTCTACCTATAACAGATTTTATCCACAAATATCCATATGTATGGATTTTTTTGACATCATTACCACCTAACAATATGAAATTGATACATCTTATTTGGATTTGAAAATAGCATAGTAGCATTGAAGAAGAGAGTGACTATAAATTCTTTTCATGGTTTTCAAGTGAAGAAGTTGATGACAAAGATGTAATAATAGTACGACAAACAAGAAAGATTAAATCTCTTCAAAGTGCATTGAAGTCTACAAAAAATTAGTTAAAAGTAAAACATTCTTGAACTCTTTAGATTTGATTGTTGAGTGAAATTAATCAATTATGTCATAATGTAATTGATTAAAATAAAGATTTTAAAAATTGATAGTGCAAAAATAATGTGTAATCGATTTTGATAGAAAGTTCTTGAAATCTTGTATTCTATGTGATACCCTTACTACCCCAACACATATATAATATAATTTAATTAAGAAGAATAAACTTTCAAAGGGTTCGTAAAACGGTTCACATAAAACTTCAAAACTGTTATTTCTTCAATATAAGAAAATGACTGAAAAATAAAACTTGAAAGGTAAAATTTAAGAGTTTACAATTTTAAAATCATTTATTACAATACCAAATCCATATAAATATTCTGTCCTAGAAATCCTCTGCCCCGATGTCACA